AGGGAAAAGGGAACGGCCTCCGAAGGTTGCAAACCTTTAGACTCATCGTAATGTTGATCCCACGACTTATCCAACATCAACGTGGAGCGCAGGTGCTACAGCACTGACGGATCAGTGCAAGGTGCCTCCCTTTCCCTCTCCAACACTGTGCTTTGACCCACGCACCCGACAGTTTGAAGTCAGCCAACTCCATGAAGTGCCCCGGAGACCTTTTGCTGCGCGTAAAGGGCGTCTCCTGGGTCTCTCTAAACACACTGTATTTCGTCCCACCGCGTCCTGTTTTTGAGCCGTCATCGAGCCTTTACTGCGCGTTTTACGGCCGCAGATAACGAGAAAACAACTTGCCAGGGAGCTGCAGCTCACCTGGGAAGCTTTCTTCAAAGTTTCATAAAGGGTCTTCTAGGTGCCGTAGAAGCAATTTCTACCATCATCGAGAAAACTTGCACCTACACTTTACGTGCTCATTAAAGCTGCCCATTAATGTGCAAGTTTGGCTAGTTTACTACCGTCCCTGGTATCTGCTCATGCAAGTTAGCGTAGCGATTGCGACTAGATGTTGCTACTCCCGCACAGCGCATGTCCTAGGAGAGCATCCGTTATCTATCTAATCCCTTCCGTGAGGCACTGGCTGAATCGTTTGGTATAAGCGCAACTCAATCTCACTAAAATAAACTCTTTTTTTTCTCAAAATAATTGATTCAGGCCGCCATACGGCCCGGGAGCGTAGTCGAAACAGCGAAAGAAGAAACAGATCCTCCTCGTTACTCTCAGCTTGAACTACCAGTTGATCGTACGATCAGGTAAACTACTCGAATTTTCGCCCCAAAGTCATCATGAATAATGGATTCCGATTTCAGCTCACAGTCGTGTCCCAGTGAAAAATCCGATGAGACTGAGACAGCTCTGTTAAACAAATCAAAGACTCCTCCACGTAACAAACGAAGTTAAAACAGTATACTTACTGAGATTAATCAATAAAAATTTCAAGGATTGTTGTGCTATTATTATCCATTTTCTCTGGCTATTCTAAGAACCCATTAAGTATTG